ATACTATTTGTATCTATGTGTATGCATGTGCCAAAAGTAGAGGACCATTTCATTCATTTAGTAAAATTGGTTTGTGCAACAAGGATGTATGCCACAATCTAGGAACAAATAGGCTATGAAAATATATGAAGATGAAGGCAATTATGTTATAATGTCGTTCACATATCATGATGATGCTTAATGAGATTAAAATTAATTCACTCCTTTTCCATAAAAACAAAAACATACGATATAGAGTTTTGAAAATTGGAAGAGATACCATGAAGTAAATAAAAGCTTTCAAAACCCTCCATGTCTGAAAGTTTGGAAAAGAAAACAGCAGGATTATAAGAACCACCGGAATGCTACAGGCAGGCACCATAAATATCTACTATATCCACTACCAAACTCTACCGGTTTGTATTAGTATTTGGTATATTATACCAATTTATAAACCAAAGATTCAAATAAAAGTTGAAACCAGAACTGAGAAAAAGTAAGTGTTGATTACATTGATCACATTTGAAGCATGGAAATTACATAGCAGCAACACCATGTTTGTATGTCTGTAAAAGTACCAGCAAGCCTGGATTCAGACTAACTAAAAAAATCTTGTTGTATATCAAGCAAAATCAAAGACCCAATTTACCCAAAATTTCCCTCACGTGTATTGCGATCATTTAAAAGAATAATAATATTAATGAATCAATTTTTCCATCAATTTTTTTATATATGTAAGCAGAGTAACTGAAAGAGTACATGAGGTCATTGCAAGTTTGGTGTGACACACATATACAGGACGCCCCTTCTTCTCTTTCTGTCGTAGATTAAGCTCCACATCTCTCTCTACACACATATATAGGGGAAGAGAAAATACATGACGCCCCTTTTCTTCTCTTTCTGTCGCTGGTTGCCGGTCTCTTCCCTGTGTGTTTGTGCCGCCGTTATCTTCTCTCTCTCTGTTGCCCTAGACAAATAGGAGCTGGTCTCTTCCCTATGTGTTTGTGTTGCCGTTCTCTTCTCTCTCTCTCTCTCTCTTTGTTGCCCTAGACAAATAAAAGAACGAAATAGGAGCCGGTCCGCTTCTTTTCTGTGGCCCCAGCCCATATAGCTATTACTATATATTTTGCTACAATTGGCATAAGAAATAGCAAAGTTAAAATTTGGCACGCTAAATGACAGTCCATTTGAAGTCCATCTGCTATATTTTACAAATAACAACCCAAATAGCATTGGGTTGGAGATGCTCTCATAAATATTATGTCCACGATATAGTGGTCCAAGCAATAAAAGTGTTTGCTTTTGTAAATGTTAATGCCTACCATCCATACAATGTAGGTTCAAGACAATGACTTTGTTGATACTTAAGAACAGTAATCTTCAACAGCTACGGGGATAAGTCATATAAAGCAGGTGTGGAAGAGGGAGGGGGAGCGGAAGCGGGGAACGAGAATGAATATGAGAGTGAAAGTCTAAAAGCGGCAAAATTTAAATTAATAATAAGATCGGAAACAAGAGTGTGCGTGGAGTGTGGGACACATTTAAAAGAATTTTGTTTCAGACTATCACTAAAAAAAGGACAGTTATTAATAACTTAAAAATCAAAAAACTATTTTCAAACAACTATAAAAGACACTTATCACCTTTTTATAATTGAGTTTTCATAAAAAAACCAAGCCAAGCAAAGTTTTTATACATTTTTATAATTTTCAGTTCTCTAAAATATTATAAGTGACAAGCCTTTTTCTAAATTAGAAATAAAAAAAAAAATTGTTGATGATTGATGGTCGATTGGGTTCAAGGTTAAGAAGCTTCTTCTAGGTGCAATTCATGCTTCAAATTTGGATATTATTATAACTCAATTGTATGGTCTAGACAGAAGGACTTTCCAGCTGAGTTTATTACTGGAATATAAATTTGTCATTGAGCCTGCCATTGATTCATGTCCTATATAAACTCTATTCTCAAAAAGAGAGATTTGCAATTCACGTCCTCTGTAGGAGATTCCTATATATTTAGTGAACAAGAATATTGTAGACACTTAAAATTCTCGGATGGGTCTAAACCGTCTAATGATCGTCGGATCGGTGAAGAAGTCAATGCTCTTGGTCAATTAAATTTCTTGAATATGGGTCTCATCAATGGACATGTGTCAAAATCCTTAGGTTTCAAGTCTTTAAAGAAAAAACAATAATTTAAATTTAAATTTATTTCCATAAATAAAAGATACAAATTTATCTTTTTATGAGAATTAGCATGATTAGTGGGGAGTTTCTAAATTAAATACCCACTCTTTGGCCTATAAATACAATGTCATCCTACACATTCAGATAAAAAAGAGGACGAACAGACGGAGACGAAGAGAACACCAAAGCTTAAATAATTGAAGAACCTGAAAACAAAGAATAACAAGCACGCCACACAAGTGTCGTTCTTCATCAAAGTCATTCAACAATGCCACACAAGTGTCATTCTTCTTTGAAGACTCTCAATCCACCATTTGAGATCGAATTCCGTCGGCGATCGGAAATCCAATCAAGTCATCTTCAACCTCGAAGATTTGAGAAAAAGCTCAACCATTGATTCAAGATCAAGCTTCCGAAGCCCTTGCACCAACTTTCCAAAGGAGATTTAATCAGAGAAAGATTCTTAGTTGTAATAGAATCGACTGCCGAGAATTGTACCCATTTGTTGAGGCAGAGATTCGACAGAGCTTTAGTGTTCTCTCCGTTTGTCCATCCCTCTTTTTTCTCTGAATGTATAGGATGACATTGTATTTATAGGCCAAAGAAATCGTGCTAATTCCCATCAAAAGAGAAATTTGTATATTTTGTATGTGGAAATAAATTTAAATTTGAATTTGAATTTGAATTATTCGCACTTTCTTTAAAGACTTAAACCTCAAGAATTTTTTTGACACGTGTTTATTGATGATGGCCCCGCATTCATGGAATTTAATTAACCAAGAGCGTTGACTTCTTCACCGATTGGATGGTAATTAGACGGTTTAGACCCATTACAAAATCTAAGTGTCTACAATATTCTTGGTTCACTAAAAAATGTCTAGGAGTCTCCCTGGGAGAATTGCAGATCTCTCTTTTTGAGAATAGGGCTTATATGACGTGAATCAATGGCCGGCTCAATGACAATTTTATATTCCAATAATAAACTCAGCTGGAAACTCTTTCTGTCTAGCCGATGCAATTGAGTTATAATAGTATCCAAATTTGAAGCATGAGTTGCACCTAGAAGAAGCTTCTTAACCTTGAACCCAATCGACCATCAATCATCAACAATTTTTTATTTTTTTAAAATTTAGAAAAAGAGGAAGAAAATAAAAAATCTGCTTGATTTGTCACTCATAATGTTTTAGAGAACTGAAAATTACAAAAATGTATAAAAACGCTGCTTGGTTTAGTGTTTTATAAAAACCCAATTATAAAAAGATGAATGTATAAAAACTGTGCTTGGTTTAATGTTTTGTGAAAACTCAATTATAAAAAGGATCTGATTTCCTTTGGCTAGCACATGACAGAGACAAACAAAAATTGTTTATGTCAACATCAAAAAATAAATAGAAGGTCAGTTTTGCCCTTTTAATACATGAAATGACAACAAATATTTCGATCGATATAATAATAAAATAACACATTACCGTTACCAAGTTGGACAGCCGTCACCAATTCTTTGTTTGGTAGGAAGGAAAAAATTTTGATGCAAGGGATAAAAGAAGCAATAAATGAGACATTTTTAGGAAAGATTTTGTTTAATTTGATAAAAGAAAATGAGATAATAGCTTATTTTGTTTGTCAGAAAAAAGAAGAAGGAGTGTTAATTATATATAAAGAAATTTTTGTAATTAAAAAAACTTTTATAATAGTGTTGCCTTTTTTTTCCCTTCCCATGTTCCTTCTATATTTGGAGCAATAAAAATTTATGAAAGAAAAATGATAACTTATCATCCTATTTTCTTTCCTTTTCTTACCTCCTTCCTACCAAATGATATTTCTTCCTTCCTATTTTCCCTCCCCACCTTTTCATTCCTTCAAAACAAAATTCATTCTTGAGAATAAAAATTCATTCCAGAACTAAACTTATTGAATGGTCATTCGATTCCCCATCTAAATTTTTTTAAAAAATTCAAGTTCTCAAAAAATCCTCATGTTCTAAATCCAAAAACCACCACCACCACCACCACAACCACCACTACTGCCTTCCACTACCACCACAAACCATTGTTGCCTTTCACTATGTACTGCCACCTCCATTACCTTCCACAACAACCACCACCGCCTTTCACTACCATTGCCACCATTGTTGCCTTCTTCAACCACTGCACCACTGCCACCTCTATTGCCTTCCACCACCGTCACAATTACCGCTACAACTATTGCCGCTATCACCACCTCCGCATTCCACCACTACCTACACCATTGCCCCCATCGTCACCGCCATCGCCATCGCTGTTGCCGCTTTCTATTGCCGTCGCCTCCACTACCTTCCATCGTCATCACCTTTTTCACTACCACCTTCCACCACTGCTATTACCCCATTGTTGCCATTGCTACCTCCCCTACATTCCCCCACCACCACCACCATTAACACCACTAACACCACTGTCGCTTTCCGCCACCATCACTGTCGGCGCCTTCCTCCACTGGCAAAAGAATGTTATTTTGTTAATTACATTAATTTCTTTGTCTTTAAAAGAGGTATTTTAGATAATTTAATGTGAAATTTATTTTATTTTAAATTTGAAATTGGTCCAACAAAATGATAGAATGATAATGACCATATTCTTTTATTTTATTACTCTTACCAAACGCAATATAATAATAATAATAATCTGTAGGGGAGATAAATGAAATTATGAAAGAAGAAAAGTCTGCATAGAATATTGACAGGGAGATAAGTAAAATTATGCTTGGGAGTTAAGTGCCATTACAGGGGAAATAAGTGTAATTTACCATTTTTTATTTTGTACTATATTTATTTTTTCCATAACAAAAAGAGAGATTTATTGAGTACAATCTCAGTGCTCCACAAACCCCCACACTCAAAAACAGAGTACAGAGGGCTCTGGCATTTTAGAGAGAGAATGTCATCGGCAGCATCAATGGAGTCTCTGATTCTGCAACTCCACGAGATCTCGGCCGTGAAATTCGGCAGCTTCAAGCTGAAATCAGGCATAACCTCTCCAATCTACATCGACCTCCGTCTCATCGTCTCCTACCCCACCCTCCTCAGCCAAATCTCTCAAACCCTAATCGCCTCCCTCCCCTCCGCCACCTCCTACGACGTCGTCTGCGGCGTCCCCTACACCGCCCTCCCCATCGCCACCTGCATCTCCACCGCCAACGCCGTCCCCATGCTCATGCGCCGCAAGGAGATCAAGGACTACGGCACCGCCAAGGCCATCGAGGGCGCCTTCAAGGAGAACCAAATCTGTCTCATCATCGAGGACCTCGTCACCAGCGGCGCCTCCGTGCTCGAGACGGCGGCGCCGCTGCGTGCGGCGGGGCTGAAGGTGACGGACGCGGTGGTGATGATTGACCGGGAGCAAGGGGGGAGGGAGAATTTGGCGCAGAATGGGATCACGCTGCACTCGATCGTGAAGCTGACTGAGATGGTTAGGATTTTGAAGGAGAAGGGGAGGGTTTCGGAGGAGACGGAGGGGATGGTGCTGAAGTTCCTGGAGGATAATCGGAAGGTTGCGGTACCGGCACCGGCGGCGGACCCTAGGGTTAAGGTTCCTTATGGGGATAGAGCGAAGATGGCGAAGAATCCAACTAGTAAGAGGTTGTTTGAGGTGATGGTGAAGAAGGAGAGTAATCTTTGTTTGGCTGCCGATGTTGCCACTGCTGCTGAGTTGCTTGACATTGCTGAGAAGGTGAGACTAAACAACCACACCCTTTTGTTTCTCTAGAAAATATCTGAAATTTTAATGGAAAATGTTTTTTTAATTTTTATTTAAAGAAAAAACCGTAAGTCGCAACTTTTCCACTGTAGTGTATCAGTGTCACTGCCTTCTTCTCCACAAGGCACAGATCCTGGTTCAAAATTTGCAAGGCGCTCGCATTGTAACCTAGGCCATTATCCCACTTTTGGGCGTTTAAGTGGGCCACTAACTGGGCCATTATCAATCTTTTGCTTGGGTCTGTGTTGCCCTGTATACAGGTCTACTTGAGGATTGGGCCAAACTTCTATACAGGTCTACTTGAGAGTAACTACTTTAACGGTTTCCTAGTAAGAAGATGAAGCTATTGACTCGCAGTCGTTGAATTTTCTCAATACCTGCGTGTCTTGTCATTATGGTTTAGATTGTTTGTACATTTTTTAGTACAACTTACCAAAGTCCTAGAATTTTGTTTTGCATATTTTATTATGCCGATTTGATTGTTCATGCAGGTTGGACAGGAGATCTGCATGTTGAAAACCCATGTTGATATATTGCCTGATTTTACCCCGGATTTTGGTTCTAAACTTCGTGAGGTATATTTCTAAAATTACTTACTTTCTTTCCCAACTTTAAGCTGATTGCTGCTTAGAATGAATTCATTTGGATACTTGGTACAAGAAGAGCCTTTTTACCTTCCTATCATATCCATAATCTAAGTATGGACAAGTTTGATGCTGTACCAATTTTATTTTTTCCTCCATATCCGTGACTGAAAGGTATTTACAACAACAAAAGACCAAGCCTTTTCCCAACTACTTGTGATTGGCTTCGTGAGTCCTATTTTCTGTTCTGCTCATGTTTTCGTAGCCTTCCATACTAACTCTATCCACGTTAACTTTGGTCTTTCCCTTCCCCTGGCATTACACTCAATTGTGTGGTTTCTATATTAATTTACTTTCACAGTGCACTTAGACGTGTTGTGGTAATTGAACGGCTCCATTGTGTCTTAAATTATATTTATAGATACTACTTTACCATCTTAGATGGGTTGGTAAATTAAGTGGTAGTCATAATAGAAAATGATTGTAAGGAATTTAATTGGGGTGACATCTAACATCCTACAACTGTTCTATGTAATATCTTTCCTTGACGGTTTCCACTTTGTAATGGTGCCAATCTTGGTGGGGCATCACTCTTGTGGAAAATAAAGTCACTTATTTGGCAAAGAGGAGATAACATAAGACTATCAAGAGTTCCTTGTATATTTGATATGATAATCAAGGAAATGATGTGCATGTGATTACTCTTAGTTGTTGAGTCTTGAAATAGTTGTCAAAATGTTAGGGGATAGTAAGCAAGGAAAAGGCCGGTCAAGAGATTTGGTGGAAGTGCTTATGGACTGCGGAGATTAGGCCTAATAAATGTTGTTTTAAATATGAGGACAATGGTGTTCTCAATCTCTGTTTGGATTCGAAATGAATGGCATTCAACCATCCACAATACCCTTTTGAACTCATATCTGATCTGCCCTACATATGCTGGAACTTCAAAAATATGCATCACATCGTTTCCTTTTTCGTTTTGCATTTTACCTAAATATCTAATGTCCTTAACTGAATCTCTTTTCTTTTTGTTTAATTTATGCAATTAACTATTGCATGTCGATTTTCATCCAAATTCAAGCCACACAGGCTTGCCATCGCTTAAAGTGCAAGATATGGTAGTTGGTGAAGAATAATTTATGGTATTCTCAAAGAACGCAATGTTTACTGTCTATATCATTTTCCGATGTAGTTCCCAGTTCCTGCTGCAGCCTGAGTACAATTTTGAAGAGTCAGCTTCTATGGAATTTTTGTGGCTGAGCTTTGTTTAGAAGTTTAGCCCTGAATTTCTTGTCTAGAAATGTTCTACTACATATAATTGATTAATCCACTAATGTTTTGCTGGCTCTTCCCTCTCTGCTAGAATTTAGCATTGTGGTTTGTTGAGCAAGTAACATTGAAATCCATTACATTTTGAGGCTAGTGATTACCATCATTTGTATTAAGTAAATATAGACCAATGTTCGTGATGTTATGTAAAGTTTTATTACTTGAAATTACTGCTAGTTATTGCTAATTATTCTTAATTCTTTTGAAGATTGCAGATAAGCATAATTTCTTAATATTTGAAGATCGTAAATTTGCTGACATTGGTAATACAGTGACAATGCAGTATGAAGGGTGAGACTTTCTTTTCTATCCATTGATTCGTGTTAGATTTATCTTCTGTTGCTTTCTTACTCTTGCCTAAATTTTCTCCAGAGGTATCTTCCGAATATTGGATTGGGCGGATATAGTTAATGCTCACATTATCTCAGGCCCTGGAATTGTTGATGGTCTGAAATTGAAGGTTTGCATTAGTTGGGCTACTTAAATTCAACTTGGACATATAGTAATGCCGAAAAGTTACTCATCGATAAAATTTGGAAATTTCATGCTATATTTAGGGTTTGCCTCGTGGTAGGGGCTTGTTGCTACTTGCTGAAATGAGTTCAGCCGGTAACCTTGCCAAGGGAGACTACACAGCCGCAGCAATGAAAATTGCTGAGGAACACTCAGATTTCGTCATTGGCTTCATCTCTGTTAATCCAGCATCATGGCCAGGAGGACCAGGAAATCCTGCATTTATTCATGCAACTCCTGGAGTTCAATTGGTAAAAGGCGGTGATGCTCTTGGCCAGCAATATAACACCCCGTATTCTGTAAGTTCCATTCATTGTTCATTGGATTTTCTGCAGACCGGGTATACCCACATTCACACATTTCCTATTTTATGTTTTTCTTTTTCATGAAAAATATATTCATTAGGGCTGTAAATGATCCGAGCCGAGCTGTGCTTTGGAGTGTTCAGGCTCGGCTCGTCAAACTCAAGGGATGTCCAAGCTCGGCTCATGTTCGAACGAGCTTTTCCTAACCTTGATTGAGCTCGATTTGACAAATGTTTGAAAGAAAACAGGCTCAGCTTGATCGCTCGTTTAGGGGATACAATCTGTACATATATATATATATATATATATCTATCTATCTCAATAGGCATATATATGTATACATATATATAAAATTCATGCCGATATGACTCATATGAGGGCAGAAGAGGGAGAAAGATCAATGAGAGAAAATTTCCGAAAACAAAGAGAAAAATGGAAAAATCGACTTGAAAATATACTACAAGGTGTGCTGTCAGTGTTTTGGTCGTTTGCCGCTAACTACTTCCAATGGTTAGTAATTTGTGTGACTTGTCAAAAAAAAAAAAAAAATGGTTACTGGATTGTGTTGTGGCTGCTCATCGCTGCTGACATTACTTTGCTTGGGAATGTCCTGTTAGGTCATGTGAATGAGGGAGACATAGATTAGGGTTGCCTCTCTCAAAGCGTACGATGGGCTGTAATTAGATTGGTTTAAGCCTTTTTATTTTGAAAGGGATAAAATTATAAAAACCTAGTTGGGTCATAGTTGTTAAAGGCTCAAGGCGCACAAAAGCACAAATGCCTCCTGGAGCCTGAGGTGCAAGGCGAGGCACGCGCTCGACTGAAGCAAGGCGCCCGTTGGAAAAAAAAGAAGACAAAACCCACCCAATAAAGTATTAAAGATGCAATAGTATATATAAAGATGTAAAAGTCAACTAAATGAATTACTTAAGTTAAATATTCAACATAAAGATGCCAAAACCAAGTAAATCAAGTACTTGAGTTCAAAACAGTGAATAATCAAACATATTAACATAAAGATGCAAAAGTCAACTAAGGAGAAGTATAAGATAAAACTAAAACAAACATAAACATCATTTCTTCCTAAGAAGACAACATCAATGAATCTAAATATCATCCTCGTCATCAATAAGCATAACATCATTTTGATCGTCACTAAATGATTCATAATTCTCAGGATCCTCTTCTATCTCATCTGAATCATCCTTATCCTCATCCACAAGTCGAACTAAAGAACTTCCTGCTCCCTTTGTTAGTAACCGTGAACTAGAACTAGATTTTGATCTAGTAGACCGTTGCGGCCTGCTAGCCTCTCCAATACCAGCAAAATTAGCAACATCACCCCATGTCAAGGAATCATCTTCATAGACTAGATCATGTTCTGCATCAGAATCATCCATCCTCCCCGTTAACCACTCGTTGCTCTCATCAATGTCATCGAGCAAAATGGGATTAAGAGTGTCACGCATATTATATCGACGCCTCAATGCTCTATTATATTTGATGAATACTAAATCATTCAAAGTTGTTTGAGCGAGCCTATTTCTTTTCTTGTTATGAAGCTGCAATAAATTCAACTTTAACTAGTAAGTATAAAAAATTAAAATTTTAACTTTCAACAATTAAATTACAAACCTAGTTAGTATATATACTTACATGCTCAAACACGCTCCAGTTTCGTTCACAACCAGAAGAACTGCAAGTAAGGCTTAAAACCTTTATAGCAAACTTTTGGAGAAGTTTTGTTGACTTGCCATAAGCTTCCCACCAATTAGCTATTAAAAAAAAATTAATAATGATGTTTGGCAGCTTTAGCTTCATCTTTCTATCGACTCTATTGTCAAAATAATTTTAACACGTAGCTATATTAACTTAATATACTTTACCACTTTACCTGGTCCTCGTGTACTTCTTTGTCTAATAGTGAAGGGATTACCAAAGAGGCCCTCAGCTTTAGAATATAAGGACAGCTCCTCAGTAATTTTGTTTTGGTCTTTGACATCCGGGACTAACCTTGCAATGCATGCATACAAACCCTTTGCAATCTCTTCATCTTCTTCAATTTTCGGATTTGAATAAAAGTATTCTGGGTTCAAATAATAACCTGCTGCATACAAAGGGCGATGAAGTTGAACATTCCACCTCTTATCAATTATTTCAAAAATATCTGAGTATTTATTTTCTACTCCCCCAAATGATTTTGCAATGGCTTCTTTAGCGCTATCCATAGCCGCATAAATGTATCCCATGGGAGGCTTTCTCTTGCTATCAACTAATCTCAAAACCAGAATACGAGGACCGGAAACCTTAAGGCTAAAGACAATGTTGTTCCAAAAGGAAGGCATCAAAACATAAGAAGCAACTCTTTTACCGGCTTCCTCTTTCGCCCATTTACTACGATTCCAGTCTTCTGAAGTAAACATCTTTCTCAAGTTATTCTTTTGCTTGTGAATACTTGATAATGTGATGAAACATGTAGCAAATCGAGTCTTAGCAGGCCTAAGCAACTCCTTTTTGTGAGTAAAGTTCCTCATAATGTTCAACAACTTTGGACGCATATAAATATAACTATTCAACTCCACTGCCCTTTGCATTGTTCTAGAGATGGACGGTATTTTCCCAATGTCTTCCAACATCAAGTCTAAGCAATGAGCAGCACATGGGGTCCAATACAAATGTGGGTGTTCTTTCTCTAACATCCTCCCTATTTGAAACCAAACAGAAAAAAGAAAAAATGATATAAAGAGAATGAGTAAATCAAAATTGATTTAAATTATATATTTGTAAAGAATGTAAACTCTAAAAGTTATAAACATTGAACATTCTTACCGGCATACTTATTGCTTGATTTCACTATCTGTGACGACTTGGACGACATTTGCTACTCCAATGCGGTTCACAAATTTATTAAGTAAGTCAAACATCTTGTCACCATCCTTTGAAAAAGAAGAAGTATCTATCGATTCAATAAACATGGTTCCCTTTGGACTATTTACTAAGAAATTAAGCAATGTTCTCCCTCTCTTGTCTGTCCATCCATCTGCCATTAATGAGCATCCAAATTTTGACCACTCCTCTCTATGGTCATTCATCAAAGCATTGGTATTATCCAATTCCTTCCTAAGCAAAGGAACTCTCACCTCATGATAACTAGGTGGTTTCATGCCAGGACCATATTGTCCAATTGCTTCAACAACCTCGGCAAAGCTATCATACTTAATAGCATTGAATGCAATTCCTGCATCATATATCCACCTTGCAAAAGCAGCACACGCTCTTCCTCTCAACTCTTTCTTGCATGCATCATTAATGGTTGTTTGTTTTCCCCCCTCCTTTCTTTTTTGTACCACAATTTCCGGTCTGGGAGTGAAATATAAATCAATCGGTCCCTTTTGCTTTTGCATCTTTGAGGAATTGACACTAGCACTGCCACTACCTGCACTGGCTACCCTTTTTCCCCGATTGTTAACTTCCATAATGTCATCCTCATCCTCTCCATCAATGAAATTAATTTCATCACTAGGTAACAAATTCATTTGATCTTTTTCTTCCTTTTTCTTACTCATGTACTCTTTGATTTCTTCTCTAACACTAGATGGGCATCTTGGGCATGCACTCACATTTCTATACCCTCCAGCTAAGTGTTGTTTAGCCCGATAAATACCTCCTTTTGTAACTTTTGCACAAATACCTCCTTTTGTAACTTTTGCACAAAAGTTACAAGTGACGGCATTTGTATCTTTCGGATTCTCCAAATGTGAGTAATTCCATGCCGGATCCTTTCTTGAACCATCACTAGGCATCTTTTAAAGTACAAACTACAATCAAATTCAAGATAACAAAATAATAGCATCATGTAATCAGTGTCTACAACAACTCTGGCAAAAAAAAAAAATAATAAAATAAATACAGAGCTTCAAAGCAATTAGCAATATTAACATTTCAATTTAAAAAAATAAATACAAAGCTTTGGCAAAATGCAAAAAGCAGAATATTATTCTTTAAGGTCTCATTAGAATTTGGTCACTAGCTCAAATTGGATGCATGCTATGATTTTATTGGTTAGCACCTTATGATTAATTTCAATTTATTGACTTTTCATTTGTTTTTTTGGGTGGGTAAGGTAATGTATTGAGTATTGACAATGTGACAGCTTCATTGGCAAGAGCAATCACTTTCGCTTGGGTGTCTTCTTTCCTTTCATTCTCTCTTTGTTCCAAACTTCCATGTTGAGATTGATTGCGCTTTTTGATTCCACAGTTAATCAACACATCTTATGATCACTTTGCATGCATACATTTTAAATTTTTTTAATGAGATTATGATTCCGTATACACCATAATTTACATGTTTCCATTTTCACCGAGCTTAAGTATAATTTAGTGAAGAGCAAAAGAATTTGGAGAAAAAGCAGTCCGTGACACATGATTACTGGCCTCACCAAAAATATTAGTTACTTTCTATTCAGCAATTTCTGCTCTTCATGTATATATGCAAAGCACTTTTTTATCTTCGATTCTTCTTTGTGCCTAATGGTCCTTAATACTCGAGAATATTAATTATCACAAAAGTTGAAGCTGCCAAAAATTTCGATCCAACAATGTATACCAAGATTTTACAAAATTAGAGTACACTTAACTAATTATTTCATTTTAACAAAATTAGATAAAAATGCATTTCCTCAAACCAACAACATGTTAGAATGGAACAAATACAACTTTTTACACAAATAAATCAGGTAAATATACCTCACACAAATAAATAAAAAAATAAAAAGAAGAAGGAAAAAAAAAACAAATCTGCCAGGAGAGAGCCGAGACTCGAGAGAAGAAGAAGAAAAAAAGAAAAAGAAGAATAAAATTGGAGGAAAAAAAATAAATAATAAAAAATAAAAAGAAGAAGAAAAATAGAAATAAATGACATAAATATCTAGCAAAAAAGAGCCGAGAGGCCCCAGACTCGAGAGAAGAAAAGAAGAAGAAGAAGAAAAAAAA